GTTTGTACCATTAAACTTCTCCACATCTTTCTTCATAGAGTGGATATTCAAACTCTGAATGGTCTTCGCACCAGAAGCACCACCCTCGATACCCGAAGCACCTTCTTTCCCCGACATCTTTCTCAATGCACCAACAAACGAAGAATAGATCCAAAACTGAAAAGATAGAGTCTTTTACCAAAAGATCTCACATTTATCACCAAACGAAACCCAAGACGAGCCTCCAAATTGATCTACTCCTCTAACCAAAACAAAACCCTAGATCTAAAACCTGGGCTCTGATACCACTTGTTATGCGCAGTAAAAATTTCGGTAGAGTTTCTCGTGCACAATAAGAGAGAAAGATCAATAAGAATTCTCGTCTCACCAAGGAGACAAGAATCTGAAGCGAATATCTCAACAAAGTTAGATATCGGCTCTTCCTCTCATCAGTTCTAGGACTGACTTGTCGAAGGATCCTAAAATTATTACAATGGTCACAAACACAAACAAACTAATTTTTACGTGGTTCGGCAAACTGCCTACGTCCACGGGGCAAGGAGGGGGAGATCTACTATTAAAGAGGAGAGAATACAACTAGAGTTTACAATCACTCAATCTAAACCCTCACACAATCTCTCAAACCTCTCACACAATTATCTCTCTCAAAAGCACAAAAGAACTGTTTGCACGAAGCCAAGAAAAACCGCTGACTTTTTTCTCTCGCAGCCGCACTTTTCTTTTTCTCCTGTAGTTTTTCTCCTTCTTTTTGCACTGCCGAAACTTGCTCCCCTCTACTGCACACCTTTTGCACAGCCGTCAAAGTCTTGCACGCCCAAAACCCTAGGAGAGAAACATCAGCCTATTTATAAGCTTCTGCCGAGTGGGCCTCTTAGTCCAGCGGAAAAGAGATATAATCCTATCTATTCATTCATTGTCCAGTGGCTCTTAGCAAACATCCGATGGGCAATAGCCTCCCACGCGGTTTCTAGCCCTTTACCTTTCACGTGTTCACACTGACGCGTTCATACTGCTGGATCTTCACGAGTGATGCTATCTCTTCACTTGTTTTTGTGTCCCCTTCACACGTTTTGTGTCCCCCACGAGTCACATCTTCATCATAATATCTGTCCTATAAGAAACTTGTAAAGAGTTTCAAGGAACTTATAAAAAGTTTAGTGCCTAACACTTCAGTGTGTGTTTTCACATTCAACGGCTATGTTCCTATGGGCACGGGCTAAAGTTCGCACGCTTTCAAACTCTGCAGCAGCAGCACAACAGTTCAAACACTTTAGTGTGTTTTTTCGTATCTACCAAGAGCTGCCCCAATGGACAATATTTATATGCCTCTAAGGCCAACTCAAGGGTCACCCACAGTCAATTTGATTGATACAAATCATAATGATAATTATGATTGTAACAACAAATAACTTAATAGATGTAATTGTTGCATGTGGTAACGTTTGAACGCGAGGGTCGCGTTTCTACGTAACACGAGGGTCACGTCGTGCCTCCCGAGGGTCGCACCCTTTGCGCGAACACAAGGACCGTACCCTCACGCAAACGCGAAGGTCACGTTCACTCTCGCAAACGCGAGGTTCGTACCTTCGCACAAACGCGAGGGTCAGCCGCGAACGTGTAGATCCCCTCATGCTGCAAAGCAGCCTACGAGGCAGTCTGCGAGGCGCCAAAGGGCACATAGCCCTAATGCCTCCGTGCGAAGTGAAAGTGCGCCTAACAAAGTGTCACTTAGCACCTCAGCCCGATTAGCCCCGATCACCGGCCCATTGGCCCCCCACGACCCACTAGTACTTATGAGGAATTAATTAATTTATTTAAATCAAAAATAATTCTCGGCTTGCCTAGGCAACCCTCGAACACATGACCTTTTGAAACACCAAAATTTTTACTTTTCACTACGTTACTAAGGATTTCTGAAAAATATCAGTAGTTGATAAATATATAGTTTGAAAACTCATTTTTGGAAAATAATTTTGACCAAAAAATCCAACATATCCATCGTATAAGAAACTTATAAAAAGTTTCAAGGAAAGTAAATAACATGGGCTAGGTTAAATTGCGCTTAAATGCCCTTTTGTTTCACTATCCTTTCGTTTAAAGTGATCCCTATTTTATAACCTAACAAATAAAAATCTCAAAGTATTTAAATGATGCAAATAAATATATCGAGGTTTTAAAATATTGTACTGTAGCGACCTTTTGTCTTGTTTACCCAATATTCCACGTAGATGCCCTCTTGCTTATCCAATGTTGCATATAAATATCATCGGTTTGTAAATGGTCTCTCTTAGCTATCTTAAAGTTTCTAAAATTGAACTTTGGTGTCCCCTGTTATCTGGTATTATTGGATAAGTAAAGAAACATTAACACTAACTACGTTATTTTTAACTTTAAAATATTTATTTGTAATATTTAAATACTTTTGAACATTTATTTGCCCGGTTTAAAATGAGAAGCACTTTAAGTGTAAGATTGGTGAAACCGTAGGACACGTTTAAGCGCAATTGAGCCTAAAGTATGACCACCCTCTCACCTTTTGTTTTAAGGGGCTGTTTGGTTGGTTTCCTAAAAATCAAGAAAAGGAAAAGGGTACATGAAAATAAATAAAACATTATTTTTATCCATTTTCATCCCTAAAACTCACCACAACATCCAATAAAATATTATTTTCATCTCACAACTCATCTCATATCATCTCCTAAAAAAAACTAAACACAAGAAATGTGTCACATCATCCAACTCATCTCATCCCCATCACATCTCATCTTTAAAAATCACTCACATCATCCAACAATATGGTGACAACTCATTTCATCTCATCTCATTAACATTTCATTTCCACTCATTTCCTCAAAAAAAAGCTAGGAAATTAATTTTCTTAAGTGTGGGTCACATCATCCAATAATATAATGGCAACTCATCTCATCTCATCTATTTTCTTATTTTTATGAATGAATCAAACACAAGAAAAGAACCTATTACAAGAAATAAATTTCTTATAATTTATTTCCTTATTTTTTTTTAGCCAACCAAACAGTCTCAAAATAAATTTTCTTAAAAAACCACCCACATCATCCAATAATAATGTGACAACTCATCTCTCATTCTTTGATTTTTCTTCTTTTTTTAGCCAATCAAACAATCTCAAAACAATTTTAAAAAAAAAAATAAGTTTCCTATTCTTTGATTTTCTTTTTTTTTAGGCAAACAAACAGTCCCTAAATAAATCAAGAGGACAAAAAGATAAATAAGCACTGTTTTCATGAAACATGAGAGAGCTTTTCAGTTCCATTCTCAAAAATATCTTGGTTTCTCTAGTCACGTCTATACATCTCGGTTAGCTTGCTTGCTTTCTTTCTTCTTTTTTTTTTTTTTATTTACCTTCCAGACCGTGCAATTTCGACGGGGATGATTACTTTCCTGTATGAGCTGACGTTGATGTTGAGATGTGTCGAACTAGGTGAGGTGCTTGTCAATGAATTTGACTGTTAATTATTAATAATAAGCCACGCAATGATTAGCAAAACAACCAGTTTAGTGTTTGCTTATCGGCCTACAGCAGAGTCCAGTAGATCGACACGTAACCAAACCAACTCCACACTACGTGGTGGACACAAATGATTAGTGCTAATTAAACAATTCGTATAGGCCTAGATTCAAGTTCTAGCTCTAGCAAATTCTTAACTCAAAAAGACTTTAATTTATTATTACTAGCTAACATTTGGCAACGGGTAGGAAAGGAATTAAGAAGAGTTAATCCTTTTTTTTAATCCGTCAAACACAAGAAATATACGCAAGGAACAAAAAGATCACAGGGAATAAAGTGAGTTAACCCTTTAGAAAACACACACGTCAAACGCAGACCGATATAAAAGGATGAAGAAGAAATCTAGAGTGGTTAAAATGGGTTTAAGTCATGATTCTCGTTACCTACCGAACACTTGAAACGACCACAAAGATTAAAATAAATACTATATAATAAACTTTCGGTGGTCTAACAAATGGATTTAAGTATGTTAATTTCTTCTGTTTAATTCCCCACCCCCTCCCCCCCAACAGTTTGCAAGACGGCGGCCTTGCGGCTTAAAACCATTGCATCTCTGTATGGATAGATTGTAACCCAATGTGTGGAATGATAAGAAACGCATTGCTTACCCTGAGGCCAGAGCTAGATCTTCCAGTTTGTAAGCAGGGAGCGAAGAACCGAACAATTTTCTCTACATAACATTCAGGAGCATTGCTCGATTAGGATAACAAAAATTTAACAAATACTGAAGCAAAAGGAGGAGCCAAAAGACGAAAATTTCACGTACAGAAGGAAGGAAGCAGAAAATGCAAGGACATCTCATATCAATACAATTATACATTGCTAGTCATGAGCTGATAGACGAATCGCCATGCACAACATTAACAAGAAGCAGCCGATCAGAGACGAAGAAAGAATTCTCGCATACCTAGATGATAACACAACCCTGAGAATTCTGAAAAACCAAAAGAAATTAAACAAAATAAAAGTTGAAGGACAAGTGTTTCATCAGGGCAGGTGTACAGATACCCAATTTATGATGTATTCTACAAGAAAGGTCACAGAAGATCAAGCTTTACAGTTTTCGGAAGCCTACTCGTCACATAAGTAGTTCCTCTTTTCTTGAATAAATACAAGGTGACCGCTCCCACTTACAACAGACTGTATTTTCTACAAATTTTTTTCACATGGATCATCAAAAAAAATATATGGCAGTATATATTCTATCTTAGGTATAAACAGTATCAATATAAGATCACCACCTACTAGCTGGAATAATCAGTAGACACTTTTACTGTTTCTTGGCAATTTCCAGGAAAATAGACTACCAGGCTCAAGATATTTATCAACCAAGCAAATGAAGCCTGCGATAATCGTAGGAGAATGGGAATCTTCAGCGGAGAATATTCAATTAGTTGTTGATATTAACTCTCCAATAATAATTTAGAGGAAAGCAAAATACCATACTACATGCTGAGAATAAAAATGCTTTTAGTAGCTCCTTGTTTGGCAGAGTGGATCATAATCATAAGCATCGCCTGCCTTCACAAATCTCCCTTTCACCCGCCTTCTGATGTCAGCCCTAGCTTTGCGAGAGGCATACCTTATCTTCTTATCAAATCTGTATAAAGAGGAAGCGAATCAGTCTTCAAGTACGTAATCAAGGCAATGCTCTCACTTATAATCATTGGCAGAGCTCAATTTGCAAGACTAGTTTGAAACGTAAAAATCCTCACAACTTCACGTGACATTAGAATGATGCGCAGACAGAACAACAATGCATGCAAGAAGTTATTGTCTGAGATATAAAGCTCAGAAGATACCCCTAGCAACCACAAACATATAATATTTCAACTTTTCGTGAAATTAGAATTATGCAAAATATACTTTCAAGTAGTTAACCCAATGGACAAGTCCCAACTAGAAAATGGTGGAGTTAATTTCTTTCTAGGATTGTGGTTCATAAAAGATGAAAAAAATAACTAAAACGTCACGCTTCAAACATTTTCTCAGGAAACATCCAAATGAGTTTATAAATTTGTAGAAGAGGCAACCAAATTCACGAGAAAAGCAACGGATGCAAGATACAAGAACAGAGTAATAAATTTGCATATAGTAAGATACAAGAATGGAGTGTTGGCTCCTAGGAATTTTACCCCACTATGTTATCAAGGATTCCTGCTATGAAAGTATCTGAGAGCATTGTATAAGGAGTGTAGACCTATAAGCTCAATCTTTTTCATCATGATGGCCAGCAGACAAGATACCAGTCGCTTCTCGAGCACTCACATGGGCCTAAAGCTCCTATGAATAGAGTTTGTGAACACAGTACAGGCCAATGAAAGAAGAAATATGAAAGTGCTGATGCAACCCCATGGTTCAAGCGTCAATAAGGGTATGCAACCAGGTTTGCAAGACCTCTCCCATCTAAACGAGGCCTACTCTGGAGACCACAGCTGACATGATGATGAATGATGACTATGCTTCCATGTGTAATGAATTTGAAATGGTATCTCCTGTGTCAGTTTTTTTCTTCAAGTCTTAAAATTGTCTGGGTGTACTGGATTTTACTGATTTCAACAGAATTGCAGCGCTCTAATGATCAGTGATCCTCAACCACCACCTGCATCAAGGATATCTGATGGGGCCTATCTTACTTGGGCACTTCTATCCGAAGCTGTCCTTGTACCCCTACCCGCACCGACATTTCCTTGGACACTTCTTGAATATATGCATACATTTATTCAGGCGTGTACTTAATTATATCATACATGTTTTAATTTTAAACACTCATCGTACAATTCTTGAACGTATATCCTATACTTCACATTCACTCCCTAAACTCGTTGGACATGGTTCAGGTTTGTTTCAACTCATAGCCAGTTTCGACCTATGATTTTGACGGATCCTTTGGGTATTTTGTTAAAAACAAGAGCGATTTTCCAACATCTTATCTACATAACAAAAGAAACATAAAAATGTTATAGGAATTTTAATTCTCATAACATGTGAATGGAAAAACAATATTGATCTCATGTAAATTATTAATCTCAATACATACATATCTATAACCATGTTACCGTACCTTACATTCTACAAATTTACCATGTCCGGTACCTGTATTGGTACTCGTACCCGTTTGCATGCAACGTAGGATGGGGCTATATTTGAAGTTTATCAATAATCACAATTTAGTGATGTTAGTCAAACAGAAAGTTATTCGAGTTTGTAATGAGAAAGTTAAGAAGCAATGTTCAAGTGGATTCATCCATAGTAGGCAGGGAAAATAAGAGATGAAAAGAAAGAAGCCTAGAAGATGTACAATTTTTGTAAAAAAATGTTATCAAATATATGTATGTCTGTATAAGAAAAGGAAAATTGACCTGCAAGATACCCATTGTTTGCCTACTCAAAGCATCTAATTTGATCAATGAGAAAGCTTTGAAATTCTGCATTAATGGATAAAAAGAAGAAAAAAGGATGGATGCGTGGATAACGAGATGGGTCATTAGGATATGTTTGGGTGACCCTGAAAAATACTATTCATGTCGATTTCAGAGTATGATGAAAACAAAATATGCTTCAGTCAATCCTAAATTATTTGGTCATAACCAGTTCGCCTAAAGGCCGCCTTAATAGAGTATGTGCGCCAATGTATCCCCAGCCAGCCAAATTATGTTGTAGATACTCATATTCTAATGGAAAAACAGATCAAATACAAGGATTTAAGTTTGTCATGGTTTATGATTTATAACTGGGAGCTCCTAAGTTTGATTCATATATAACTTATTCCTTGTGTATCTGTGTCTGGCACTTCATCGTTACATAATAAGCGATTCCAGCTGACAACTATTCTCAATGCCAATATTAGTTTAACGTCAAAATTAAAGTAGTTAATTTGATAACCAAGAGTAAATAGAAATATAAAAGAAACATCAATACTGCATGTGAATTGTTCATGGCATGTACTAACTTGCGATTTTTCTTCTTCTCCTTGTATCTCATAACAGCACTGTCCCTGTTAGCTGCAGAAAATGAGGAAGCCTCAGGACCAGTAGGGTTACTAGGGCACCATGGAGGCTCGCCCGTAAGAAGCATCGATGACATTTCTGGATAGTCTCCTGCGCTGCTCTCACCAGTTAAACCAGAAAAGGAAAGGGACAAGCTCGAATGTGCTTTCCTTGCCGGAAAAGATGCACCGGGATCTGCTTTAGTTCCTGGGTTTGACATCAGGGAATCAGCAGATACTGCATTGCTACATGCTGGTTGTATGGATTTTCCAAGCTCCGCTGATGACTCCTGAGAAATAGGATCAGCATGAGAAAGATGCTACTTGGAATTTCATAAAACCAGTTAGGATCTGTACACTTATACCTCTAAATATAAAATAAGACTAGAGTGTGATTGTCATCAAAGGGGATTACATTTACAATAGCATCCTGCAAATTTTAAAACCTTGCAGTATGTGTTTGGCTTATAGCTCTACTACAAAGGTAAACCAGTAAAAGGGTTGGGGGGGGGGGGATAAAGCAACTTCGAAGAGGCCTCACAATCAGCCCAAATATTAGTTATTCTATTGTTCATCAATTGATCGAAGAAGCATCTCGACCTCATAGAAAGTTCCAACTGCAGCATGAGCTTCTTTTGCAATAAAACTTGGATTGTAACTAGTCCAACCAGAGACCTATGACAGCTCTACTGCAATAAAACTTGGGTTTTTAAATGATCCGGTGTAGTATTAGTTACGCGAGATAAATGTAATAGAAAGATAGATAAATGTACTAGAAAGATAAATGTGTACGATAAACATATGAAATTATCAAGCAATATAAAAAACGGCTACTAAGCCAATAGGTAATTGAAGTTTGGCAACCTTCTATAAGAATATATGCACTAATCAACTAAATAACATAATGGAGTATGTAAATGAAAGTTTCTGGATAGCAATAGAAAGCTATTCGGTGCAGTGTGTTGATATCAAACCTATGTAACACACAGAAACACAGACACTTCTCTACAAGCTGACACTTGGACACAATTGGGACACATTAAGACTCTTTTCAAATGTGTCCTCTATTTATAATCACAATTTAAGTTTATACACTGCTTAAATACTTACCAAAGGCTTCTCTGACACATCTTCTGCACTCTGAACATTTTTTATCCTTATTATTCATTTGAGAATGATTTATATAGTAAAAGATATAGTTTAGTGGGAAAAGGATTTCAAATAGTGACTTGTATAAATTAAAATAATTTAGAAAAATTTATTGACATAAGAACTAAAATATATTAAGATATTCTGCAGGTGGTAAGCCAAGGGCTATTCCCTGTACAAAGTTATAGCAAGATATGATAAGTAGCATTCTGCAAACACATAATTATAATATGTTATACGTTATTAGAAATGTGGGAATATGTATTTGCGTGCTTAAGTGTGCCCATGTGTTGTTTTTTGTTGTTGTCTTGATTGTTGTCATTGCTGTTGCTGTTGTCAAATAACCACTTTATCCATAATGAAGGTGGTCCACGACTCCACCAACTTCTAAGAAGATGCCATGCTACTTCTGTTATTTGACCGACTTCTACTTAAGAAAGCATACTGACACATCTGTTCCTCATATAAGATCTTGTGCTAGTATGGATGTACTGTTCTTCCTGGAAGGGTGAAACTATTGACTGCCAGCATAATAATGTCCAAGTATTAGAGTGATCTTTCTGGTGCTCTTGCGTTCCCAATAGACATGACTCTAATTAATTTCAATGACCATGCAACTCCTTTCCGCAATGACAAGGGTAGAGTTGCATTCTAAAGAGTATCCTTTCAACAAATACACTCTTAAAAGGGATGTTGTTAATAACTCCTATTTTGAGAAACTAAAAAATTCTTCGTGCTTAATTCGTTATTTGACCCATAAAGTTCCTTTTCTCTCAGAAACTAAGGCCTCTAATTCCTATCTGCTCCAACCATTTGTCAAAAGGGACCGTGCTAAAACAGCTTGAAATCCCAATCGAAAAAAGTGAAAAGAAGAAGAATGATTATGATGATGACGACCAACATAATGGATTTTGATGTTAGAACAAAGCTTTTTAGCCTTCATGGTAAAACATATAAATACCCAGCTTGTGGAACACAACAATTTCTCAGTTTGATAACCAGGACCTCTAAGATATAAGTTGGAGTAAGATTTATTACTAACAAGTGCACAAAAGTGAAACAACATGCCTAGATGAACTAGCTGATGCAGAAAGAGTTTAATTGAAGACAAATGCATGCCCCTACACGTATTCAGTCAAAGGGAAAAAAGAATTTGCTTGATGTGAAGTTATGCAAATAGATTTCATTAGGATACTAAAAGGATTTGATTAGATTTAATTAGGTTTAATTTGAGACTTATACAATATCTTAAATACTTAATAAATCTTTTGGTATCTGTTAAGTATGTAGCATACAGTTCGTTTTCTTAATAATAGAAGCAATATTTTCAGATCTACTAGGAATACAGTTTGTTGTCTTAATAATAGAAGCAATATTTTCAGATCTACGAGGAATATGAGATAAATCTTTTCATGTATATAATCAGTCAGTGGCCTGATGAGTAAAAAAGAGTTTTCTCCTCAAATTATTCTATACGATAGTTCTTTAATGGTGTGAGGCCACCAGTGAAATCAACCGTGGGAGATGACACAAAAAGGTGTGAAACTTCTCCTGTACCATTTGTTCCCCTTGTGTACATCCATTCCTTTTCACTAGGTTTTGCTTTTCCTTGTCTTCTTTAAGGTGCATTTGAAATTACTTTCTGATAAGTGACCTAGAATGCCTTTCGAAGCAATGACCATTTCAATCAAGATTTGATGTTCATTGACAAATCTTACAAGTAGTTTATTTGAAAAAGCAAAAGTCAAGAAGAGTTCGTTTAACAATGTTTTTACTTACAAATAAATCCTTTTAAAACGACCACTTATATGAAGGTGTATCCCAGACAACAACTTTACACAGCTGAGCATGTTTGATACTTTTTAAAGTTGAAATTTCTTATCGTGAAAGATCAATATTTGAGATAGATTTCTTTGAAAGAGTTTAGATAAAAATGGATATTTGACACAGAAAATTTAGAAGACTTCTTATATAATAGTAAAAAAGGAAAGACATATAGAAATCTTTTGTTAGAAATAAGATTACATGAAAGATCATGCAAGGGTAAAATATGTGAAAGATTGCATGTTGAACAAGCATTATGGTGGGTTTACCCAGTCGAAATAGATGAATTTGCATGAAAGTAAATGTTAACATTTGTAATCTTCCAGAAGAACAATACATCGTAGGAGCTAGTAGTGTGGAAAATATCAATCCCTTCGGACAGCTTTAACAAAAGATGAAAAGTGGAAGCTGAAGTTCGGAGATGTTAATCAACGGTAATATAGCTAATTAAGTAATTCAACAAAGCAATGGCAAGAAAGAAAATGCCTAATCAGTGAAAGGAGATGCCTAATGAAAAAGAAAAGCACTTCAGTATGTGTCTATAGATTTAAAAGGAGATATATGACTTGTGCAAACTATTATACAACCAAAAGTATGGTCAAAATAAGGAAATTCTGCAGATAGTAACAGAAGAGAGAGTAATAAAATAAAAATTTTGCGTGGAAAATCAATTTGGCTACATCCCTTGGTTCTTCTTAAGAGCTATTCACCTACTAAAGCGACCAATGGAATATTTGGGGAGAAGTATCATATATGATTTGCATGATCTAGAAAAGGTTTACAACAGGGAGATTAGATAGTGGATTTAGAGGATAAAAGAAAAAATTAGAAATATGATGTGATGAAGAATATGTGTGATGCAATCAATAGTAGCTAGGAAAAAACAAAGTTGAAAGGGAACCAGATGTATCCCCTATTCACTATCACCATAAAAATTAGTGTCAAGCTCTTATTTATTTGCTTGAATAATAGACAAACACACTAGAAATATACAGGATAAGGTCACCTTTGTGCATGTAGACATATTGCACAATCACTGAGAAATTTATATTGGAGAATAGAAGGAGAAAGGATATCTCAAAAGAGGCTTAAAAATCCATTGAATAGAGAATTCTTTCTGCGAGAAGGAAAAATATGAAATTCCACTTAGGATAACTATGAGAAGGAACTCCCCGGTTCTCCAAAAAAATTATGAGAAGCAACTAGGGAGGTCATAGAATCAAACCAGGACAACTCGTACGAAATGTATCTGAGCATGAAGATGTTCTATCACTGAAATGATCATATGTGCCAGTTTAGATCAATATCCATCAAAGTGAAGAGGAGGTTTGTAGAAGCAGTCCAGATGATTAATGTGGAGATGTGCTTCTAAAACGCTACGTGACTGTAGGATGCACATGAACAAGATGTCTTCTGACTGGCTATTCTTTGGGCCATGGGCAATTAAGACACAATACACTCAGTAAATGATGTTGAGTGATCGTGCACTAAAAGATAAGATAAGATGGATAAGTGATCATGCACTAAAAGATAAGGTAAACATGTGCATCCCCAAGAAGTAAGATTATAGGATAAAGAAATTGTTTACATGGACTGGACATGTGCAGTGGAGACTAACACGTGATAGAAATGGACCAATAAGAAATAGAAACGAACCCAGCCATATAGACCAATAAGAAATAAAACAAACTCAGCCATACATGGTTTTATACAGTAACAAAGGATGTGACAGAATCTACTAAAAGAGGAGACAACCCTTGAACCTTAATAAAGCAAAATGGGGGCAAAAAAAGGGATTTATAAAGTTGACTCGCATATCTAAGATATGCTATGTTGTTGTTGTCATCTTCCAGTTTTGTAGTAGGATTATGCATGTCTAAGTTTTCACTGGAAGGAAGACAAAAGAAAAAGGTAAGAGGGTTTCAGCATAGTATTAACATGTTACCTCTGCAACATATTCTCCCTGGCAGTTTGAATTGGTGCCGGACATTTCCTTCAAGTCAAAGAAGCTATCAATTCCAGCATCATCAAAGAGCGGGCCTGACTGATCATGTGAGCCACCAAACAGTTCTTCATAATTTTGGAAGGTCAGCTCAACATCATCCACTGTGAAATCTTCATAGAAACCACCTTTACGGATGTCTTGATCTTTTATCTCAGAATCACATAGCTGCATTTTAATAAAATAGCAATTACTACAATCAGAATAGTTCATTATGCCTTGAACACCCCGGAGGAGATTTTACAGTCTGTTACATCAAGACTGAGTAATTATTTGTTTGCCATAGAAAAGACAGATATATTTTGAATACTTTAGCATGAGAAGGTTGCAACTTTCAGAAAATCTGCAGAATCACTAACAGGAATTTGAGGAGGAGACGCAGTGGTAATATAAAGTAATTTTAGGGAATGACTCCTAAATGAAGAAGGTTGTGCAATTAAAAAGCAAAAAGAAAATTTTACATCAAAGAGGAAAAATCATTTCCAGCCAGAAAACTTAGCTCTATTAATGCGTTCAACAGAAAAGCTATCAGGCACTCTGGGCAACTTTCTTACTAAAGGAGTGTGACAGTGTTGGCTATGAAAATGAGGTGGGCTTGCTCGGACTAGCCTTGTACTGACATGACAAAATCAACATTACCTTTCTTTTTCATAAAGAAAGAAAAGGAGGAATTCACTAGCTATTGAAAAATCAAATAACATGTCAAGCTAGAAATTTACAAGTTCTTCCTTTTCCATCTAATTGTGTATAATGCAGAGTGATGAAAAAACAAAGCAGGTGCAAGTTAAAAGTTCTCATGATGGATAGCTAAGCATTAATGCACCTTAGGTGTGGTTGACTCCGCTGAACCACCTGGTTGTGCACTGCTCGGTGGAGGGTTCAATGCAGATGCAGAAGATGACCCAATCCAAGGATTGAATTTATCCGTATTGTCCAGCTCATTCATGGTTACATCTTGTTTACTGCTGCTCCCAGGTTCTCCCCAACAAGTACTGACACAGTTCTCATTGATGCTCATCAAGCCAATACCCTCTTCACAAGTTGAATCATCCACGGGAGGAAACTCCGTCACAAAAGACCATATTCTAGAAAGTTCTGCAGCCGATGGGCAACCAGAATAGCAGTTTATCGTCTGCCTCTTATGCTCAGAAGCTGAGGCCAACCCACTATGCCCATTCCAATCACAATTGTGACAAAGAGAAACATTTTCATCAACACACCGAACAATGGCAGGTTGTGAAACACATCGATCACATATAAGTGTTCGAGAGTGGCGCCTAGAGAGAGCGTTGGCTGAATGAACATTGCGGTCACATGATAAGCACAAAGAAGCAGCATCAGAACGGCAATAGACCATAGACCTTTGTTCCCCACAGTAGTCACAAAGGGAACCCATGATTACTCTAAAAGCTTTTTTACTCCCTCTTCTGATTCAAGACTTCAAGTAACCATTCAGCATCAAAGTGCAGTACCCCGCAACCTTCACATAATTTTAAAGATATCAGAAGTTGTAACGTGCAAAAAGCTCTTTATCTCAATGAAATGTCAAGAAGCATATCTATTTAGCTTCCCTTTTTTTCTCCCTTCACAACACATTATACCAATGCCAGAATCACATATACATATGAAGCAACATATCATTACCTTGTCACAAGCATGGAGGGATATTTTTATGTCTAAGAAGCACATAGTTAACTGGGTATATTAATTCAAATTCATGAAGATTAGGATGGACATATGTCTTTGAGGACTTCATTCCCATTCGCTACCCTGTGTACTGAATTCGAATGAATAAAACAAAGAATTTGATATGCTCGTAAAGTCCCAGAGTTTGAGAAACTTCTATAAGATGATCAATAGATTATTCAGCCAGCTTCTACCAGAAAGAAGTGAGGTGAATCAGGTGATGACAAAATGCACTTTGAGACTTCTCTATGTGGAGTCAGTTCCAAAATCAGACATTTCACATGTAAGGATTAAGGAATAATTACAGCTGATTTTACTCGAACCATCTCCAGTACATAAAATGAACACACCGTTCAATTCTCGAAACCCATTAACTAAAAGCTACCAGATAACTGAGAAACGAATCCTGATGATGCAAAAAGTAAGTTCGAAGCAAGAATTAAAAATAAAAAAGACCAATCAGGTTAATTTAAGTCTAAAAATCATGATTCCTGTTGCCCGGGCGCTCAGAAAAATATCTCCTTCCACTATAACTATAGTTCCTGTTTAATAGCTACATCACCCTAATTTGATCAGATCTCATCAACAGAAACTAGTCAATGAGATGAGTTTCCTAATCATAAACAGTTATTACTAAAAATGATTGAATTCGTCCATTTATAACCAATTACACGAGTTAACCTTTCAATGAAGATTCGATTAAGACAACATATCCTCATTATCATATGAAAAGTCTGCAAATTTCTACAGGTGAAGCAGTAGAAGGAGACGTCAATCAAAGTACAACTTCCCAAAAAGAAAAAGGAAAAAGGATCCAATACGAAAGTCCACGAAATTTTTATACGCAAAAGACTCCCAGTAAGGAAAGGAAATTTTTTTTTTTTAACTATTGCCAAATGAACAGCTGCTAGAAAAACCTTGAAATAAGCCAAAATAGTACGCTCAAATGAACAGCAAGAAAAGGAGAATATTTTTAAAATAGTAACCGAATAAAATAAACATTCTAAAACAGTTAGCTGATAATTGACCTAAACTAAAAAAAAAATATCTAAAACCTTAAAAAAAATCTCAAAATCCGACAAAACCTAAAAAAGATTAGAAAACTCCGACGAAATTCACATAGGAACTGTGAACTAATTTCATAGAATTTCGTAAAACAACCGAAAAAGGAGTAAAAAAAATCAGCTAAAATTCAGGGGAAAAAATCTTCAGCACATCAAGAATCTAACAACAGAGATACAATTATCACTCACCGATGTCTTGAAATCTTCGGGCTATGAAGCTCTCTTCCTTATCTTCGTCTACAAACCCTAAAGAGAGAGAGAGAGAGAGAGAGAGAGGAGAAAATGTGGATGAGAGACAGAGAACAAGAGATGAGAGGAGAAAAAGTGCATAGAGAGAGAAAGAGATGGTGGGGGAGCTGGGGCCCACCGGACTCAGAGAAAAGGTTTTTTTTCTGCCCTTTTCGCTTTTTGGGGGTATGATCGTAATTAACGGATCGGATAAGGGGCTTTTCTGAAAAAGGGGAGGCCACGTGGGCGACAGTAGAGATATTTTGGCAGACGGAGGCAGTGACGTCGATGAGGACCCCTTCGTGGAGGTTGGAATGACGATATTGCCCCTTCCCCTAATAATGAGTATTCCGAGGGGCCTCTGGGCTTTCTCATTTACGTTCTTAATTCCTGAATTTATATAATGCTGAAGTTACAGAGGAATTTCTTTCCTCGCCCACAAAGATCATTAAAAGAATATTTTGTATTAATTCTACGTAAATATGCGATGATAGAACTTTATTAAAGTTTGCAAAATAATATTGACTACTTTCTTATTCTATATATGTGAGATTTAATTTCTAGTTGGAGGAAGTTAAATCGAAGAGGGGAGTGAAATTTAACTAATATGGTCCTTTGCAGATGGCTATCAAATAAATAGTTTGTATGTGACATACTCATAATCCGGATAAGTCTAAGTAATGTCTATAGAATCCCTCTGATTGTATCTCATATAGATAAGTTAATTGTTTGTATTTTTAGATTCAGTGTGCTAGTGTGAATTATTATCGTATGTTTAGTTTAGTGGGTTTTTTTCCCCGCACTCCAGACACATTGCTTCAAGCGTTACTCAATAGATTACTATATGTTGTCATATTTTAATACTTTATAATGTGTGTGGGTATATATATATATATATATATATATATATGAGAAAAATGGGTATACTTGGTACCAAGGATCCTTGGTAGTGAGGTGCGACATATACTATATATATTATATATATTATATATATATATATATATTATATATATATATATATATATATTATTATATATATATATATATATAAGTGAATCTAGGTGACACCTCAGGCTCCCACCTAAGGACGTGACCTAAAATCACATCATTTCCTAAATTTTTTGGCGATCCGCTCCGTTGAACTTGATCTACACGTTCTTAAACCCAAACACACGCTAATTTGGTGAACTCGTCCGTGTTTTGACCCTTTATCCACTCGCTACAATTTTAACGGTTCGAATGAATAGAACTTTTTGCACGGCTCAACGAATGGTCAAAACACAACGGGTGCACTCGCTGCAATTTTAACGGGTGTTTCGAATGAATAGAACTTTTTGCACGGCCTCAACGAATGTCAAACACAACGGGTTCACCCCAAAATTGTCGTTTTGGGTTTAAGAACGTGTAGATCAAATTCAACGGGGCGGATCGCAAAAAAAAAATTAGGAAATGATGTGATTCTAGGCCACGTCCTTAGGTGAGAGCCTAGGTGTCACCTTAGATTCACTTTTCGCGGTGTCACGCTTAGATTCACTTTTCCCTATTTATATAATATAATATATATAATATATAAATTTAATATATATATATATATATATATATATATATATATATATGAGATTAATAGGTATCCTTATCATAGGAGGAGATTTTTCTCCTTGTCGCCTATGTGGCACAAACCCTACCATTCTCATAAAATAGACACAAATCCCCACCAACTCACACTCTTTTTCCTACTTTATGAGGATGGTGGGGATTGTGCCACATAGGCGTTAAGGAGTAAATCCCCTCCTATGACAAGGATACACATTAATCTCTCTCTCTATACACACACACACACACACACACACACACATTGTGTTGATGTCGGTTATCTAACATGGGGTTTATTTGTTGGTTATGATGGGTGTTAGGGTCCTCAAGCTTCTTCATGTTGGAAATAATGGTTAAATCTGGAATTAAACAATGAAGGATGACGTGCTGTTACACACACTGTGTTGATGTCAGTTATCTAATATGGGGTTTATTTGTGGATTATAATGGGTGTTAGGGTCCTCAAGCTTCTTCATGTTGGAAATAATGGTTAAATCTGGAATTAAACAGTGAAGGATGACGTGCTGTTATTTTAAACTTTTTCAATTAACTGTTGTGCGTTTGTGAAACGCTGTGCTTAAAGCAATATTTGGTCTACTCCGGTGCAAGGATCCTAAGGCCAAACTGCTTCCAGGAACAGCAGTACAGTACTCTAGTGTGCACCAACCCAGTACTGTCAAGATCTCCTTAATCTATAAGACCTTTCGGTTAAGGCAAAAGATCTCCTCGATCTCAAAACCTTTCTTTTTAAAAACCTTTCGGTTTCAGGGTTCCTGCGAGCACAGTTTCTGCAGCAGCAACACAACAACAACAATAACAATGTCGATCTGACATTCATTTTCCAAACTCGCGTGTGTATACCGACATTCGTATTATATACTGACGTTCGTATTCCATGCTCGCGAGAAAGTTTCCAGCCATAACCAAGAGCTGCCTAAGGATGTTATTTATAGGCCTCTAAGGCCAGCTCAAGAGTCACTATCAATTAATGTGACTGTTATAATTCTTAATGGCAATTAAGATTGTAACATCAATGTATTAAATTGCTCTAATTACTATTGTAACTGTTGTATACAGTAACTCCTAAATACGAGGCAATCAATGGACGTGTTGCTACAAAACGCGAGGGTCGCGTCTCAGCAAATCAGACGAACCTCGTTTGACAAACGAACATCGTCAAACATGCGAACCTCGTATGACAGACAAACATCGTCGAACGAGCGAACATCGTCAAACAGGCGAACCTCGTATGACAGACGAACCTCGTCAAACAAGCGAACCTCGTATGACAGACGTACCTCGTCGAACGAACGAACATCGTCAAATAGCCAAACCTCGTATGACAGATGAACCTCATCGAATGAGCAAACCTTGTCAAACTACGAGAACGCTAGGGTCCCCCTCGTGCGAATACGCTCGTCCGCATGCTGCAAAGTAACCTTCGTAGCGACCATAGTGGCAGCCAACGTGGCGCCAAACAGCGCCACCTCACCCCGATGCCTCCGTGCGAAGTGCAAAGTGCGCCTAACAAAGCGTCACTTAGCGCCTCAGCCCGATTAGCCCTGATCCCCGGTCCATTGGCCCACGGCCCACGATCCATGACCTATGACCCACTAGACCTTATGAGGGATTAATTCAAAAAAAAAACACTTCTCGACTTGCCGTTGGCAAGCCTCGAATATGGGACCTTTTGAAACACCAAAACATAAACTTTCTACTAGGCTACTAAGCATTTATGAAAAATATTTGCAGTTAATATATATATAATTTAAAAACTCATTTTAGAAAGCATTTTTGACCAAAAAAATCCAACACTTCAGACGGTTTGTTCTTGAGCCGATAGTCCAGTCCTGCACATGTAAAATACGTAAGAGATCGAAGTTGGGATCTCCGGTGGTTCCTCCTATGGTCAAGTCAATTTAGAGCGTGAGTGGGGGGGAAGTTCAAGTGTATAAGAGTTTTCTTGGGCAAAATTTTCTTACCCTAAGTAGTAAACATTAGTTTCTTTTATAGCAGACCCAAGGGGTAGGTAGATAGGTAACTTCGGCCGAGTCAAGCTGGCGGCTCAGTCGTCATCTATTTCACAGGTGTCGGCTGCAGATGGGACGAGACACCTAGGTGTTTAATGTGAATGTGACAGAACATGTGTGGCGCTGACAAGGTCCGATGAGTCAAAAAGACTTTTGGTGCTAAAGAAATGATGATTCTAATCATTCATTAAATGTGATGGCAATCAATTGTTGGTGTGGAGCCCGAGGACACACCGCCTTCCGACTCGGCTCCATGAAAAGGGCGACAATTGGTGATTATTGTCTCCATTCTGCGGTGGGTCGATAACTATCGTCTTTTTAGCCAGTCTCGCAAGTTGTCGCCCCAAACTAGTGGAATGAAGATGAGTGAGATAGAGTCTAATGGTGCGGGCTGATAAGTACCGCCTTTTTAGCCGGCCTCGCAAGTTATATACTTAAACTAGTGGAGGTGGGCTCAAGCAGAAGGTGAGAATGCTTCTCAACTTGGTCCTTCTTGAGAGTTGTGACTAGGCTGTTTAAGTTATCTTGGCTAGGGCAAAGCAGAATTGGGACACGTATCGACTCTAGGCAGAGGATCAACACTCAGATTATTTGTAGGATATATAACACACACATATATAAGAATGGATATGCGAGATATTATTCAACCTTTAGGTACCGTTTGACAAAGGGTTAAGTGAGGGGTTAAGGAGACTTAACCCTTTCTTAACCTGCCAAACACAACAAATCTATATAAGGGTTAAAGTGAGTTAACCCTCCATAATTTGCCAAACATAAAAAATATAGAAGGATTAAGTTAACTCCTCTAGAGGGGTTAAAATGAGTTAACCCCTCAAAATGAGGGGTTTACTAATACTCCTATTTAAATGGAATAAGAGTTAACCCTTCTAATTATAAAGAAAATAGTCAAAATCGTTGTTATTCCCAAACACTAAAACTGATCATAAGAGCTAAAATAAAACTTATTTAACGGGTTAATAATTTAGTCCTTCGGATTATCAAATGGGCTAAGTACATTAATTTTTCTCTTTAACTCATCTTCATTAACTCTTTGCCAAACGGAGCCTTAGAGCTTAAACAACTGGGATGGAAGTTTCTTTTTTACCTAACTGTTGCATAGTTATAACATCATGAGACGAGGAACTATATAAAGTTTTAAAAAAAAACATCTCATGATTATATCCACTTCCAACGCACGTGAATATATAGGGGAAAAGCAACGAGTAAAAAAAATGCAACGTCTACTATTGTCATAGAACGGCTGTAATTGAAAGCCCAACCACAAAGCCCATTTAGTGCAGGTTATTCAGTAAATAACCAAACATCAGGGGGTCTTTGTGACCTTGAGAGCCCCCGTGATCTCGCAGCTTCGTAGGTACAAAACACGTGAGGCGTCAAGCAAAGGACGAAAGAGAATGCAAAGTAATTTACATGTTTGCCCTTTGGCTTAACTAA